ACAGCCAAGTGCTCAGCCCGGTACAGCACAGACGGAACAAAACTTGCATGTGACCAGAGTGCCACTTCCGTTTCAACCTGAATGGCTTCAGGAACGCTGCGACATGTGGCTTCGGGCTCAAGGGCTTAAACCCCCTAAAATTAAAAAAACCCTACAGCCTCACCCTGGAAGGGGTCACCCCTCGTGATTCTTCTTTATACGCGTGCATTCTCGGGGAGACATCTTCAGAGTGTGGTCACTCTTTCTTGTATGATCGATGTTGGTAGGCCAGTCCGAGAATGAAGGTCCCTAGCACCACGAGGAGTTCTGAATGGTCGGCCATTCTGGCGTGGCCGTAATCCAGTAGCAGACCGCGTATGGCGACCGTCACACCAAAGGCGCCCAGTGCTGAGGTCACAAGGATGAAGATGTCCTCCCGCAGTTTGTGCGCCACGAAGGCAAACACCAAGGCTGCAAGAATGGCGACGCACCAGTAGTACCTGGTCATGATGGGGGCCTCGCGCAGTGTGGGAGACACACTTGTAAGAAATGTCTGAGCTTGATACGCAAGGACCACGCCAAGCATTGCCCCAGGGACGACAATTGCCAGCTCCAGGAACCAAGACGCCGCTAAGGCAGCCGCAATGCCCGCCACGACGGCACCCCAGACGGGCAGTGAGCAGGAATTGTGGAAGGCAGCCTTCAGCAGCTCGAACCTATAGTCCATGGTTGGGATAGTAGTCAAAAATGTACATTTCTATTCCTTATTGAGCTTAAGTACCCTTAAAGGTGTAGAATGTTCCCCCACTATGACAAAGGAACGTGAAGTAGGATGCCGCCAGGGCAGATGTTCCAATGACTACGGGGCTCACGAGGCGATGTCCCACCTTACTGTAGCAGGGAATGGGGGTTTAGGGTTTAGGGTTTAGGGTTTAGGGTTTAGGGTTTAGGGTTTAGGGTTTAGGGTTTAGGGTTTAGGGTTTAGGGTTTAGGGGTTTTCCGGCAAGCCACTAGAAGCATCGTGGCGCTGAGGATGAAGAGCACCACCAGTGGCAAGCCAAGGGCCCATGAAATCTTCTGTTGCTGATCTTTCCTAGGATGGCCCCCCAAAAAAAACCCTCTGAAAACATATTCCTGAATATGAGCCTGTATAGGGTTTAGGGTTTAGGGTTTAGGGTTTAGGGTTTAGGGTTTAGGGTTTAGGGTTTGGGCTTTAGGGTCCTGAATATGAGCCTTCTTAAACCCAATAAGGGAAACACATCACATGTCCCCAGGGCCCGACCGAGCTTCAATCCGGAGAGGACTGCTTGGACGTCTTTCGTCAGGCAGGTGTCTGAGTCGCGGGTGGACGGGGACACGTGCCTCTGCCCCAAAGCAGTGTGAGGAGATGATGCACCTGGGAGGGCCCCCCTGAAAACCAAAAATGCCCTAAACCCTGAACCCTGAACCCTGAACCCTGAACCCTAAACCCTAAACCCCAAACCCTAAACCCGAAACCCTAAACCCTAAACCCTAAACCCTTCCCTCAAAAAAACCTTCCTGAAGATGATCCTCCTAAACCCCCCCAAAAAAAGGGGAAAAACGCAACATATGGCCCCCGATTGGGCCCCAGCCGAGACACTCATCTTACCCATGCTCACAGACTCCACGCCATGCTGCAAGAGCATGACAGAGTCGGTGATGCACGAGCCGTCTTGAACCTTAGCTTTGGAGTAGGGCCTGGAAAAAACAAGGTATATACTTTTTGGGTGTAAGTAGCTACTATAGGAACCCAGAACCAAAAGAAGTATTAAAGTGTAGTACTCCAAAACCCAGGAACCACATCTGGGATCGTCACGGCGGCAGCCAGCAGACAAGAACAGGCCACCCAAGCGCGGGCAAGCATGCGGAGGACGCAGGAATCGGCCACTAAACTCGGTTCGGTCTCACTGTTGGGCTTCCTGAGCCCAGAAGACTCTGCAGCGAAACGGCTCCGCCAAAGTTGTGCTTGCAGGATCTCGTCCAGTTCTGGGAGTCAGTTTGCCTTTAGGGCATATATGGAGGTTTACGATATCAGGGGTACCGTTGGGGTCTCTGCTGTAAGGGTATCCTACTATTTGGGGGTCTAAACTAGGGGTCCCTTATTCTCACATGGGAAGCAAAGTCTGTCATGCCATGGGCTTCCTTGCGGGCGCATGGTGAGTTTCTCAAATTTGTTCGAAAACTTGCGATTTTGAAGGAAAAATTTGACTCATCAAGTGTGATAGATATCCGTAACTCACGACCAACTTTGCTCGCAAAATCCGGGGAGGAGGTGCAGGTGTACGGTTTACCTTTGAGGGTTTAGGGTTTAGGGTTGGGTAGTAAACCTCTGACGCTCTGAGGCCCCCAAAGCCCCAAAACCCAGACTCCTTTTTTGTCGGCTCTTTCGGGCCTTGCTCGCTGCCTCCCTGCTCTCAACATCAACATGCAACTACCGTCGTCCTTGCATGACTTGCTGCATTCTGTGCCCCAGCCCCTGAGAGGGGCCACAAACGGGAGCACAGTTGGAGAGTTAGAAAAAAACACAACCCTAGACCCTAAAATACTCCCAAGGCCGGGAGTGCCTGCGTGGTCTGGGCTGAGTAAAGTTTGGCATTTAAGGTCTCGCAAGGGCTTGGGACGTCAACAACAAAACTCAGGAATCGCCCTGTTTCTGTGAGGCTCTAGGGGTTTGGGACCAAGATGAACACAGGGCTTTACGGCTAAAAGTCCCGCGAAAGATGCGGCCGAGCGTGCCTTCTTGACTACCTAGCTAGAGATCTACGGCACGTCATAGCTTGGGGGTGCCAACAAGGGGGCCCACTGTCTAGATCAAACCCCAGAACTCCTTTGCTCCCCTGTTGCTGGCCCTGCGCCCGCTCACTTCCAGTTCAGAATCGTGCACACCTCGGCCCGTCTAGCATTTCCTTTGAGGCCACCAACCCGAAACCCTCCAATCTTTTGTGTTCAGGTGTCAATGGGCTTCTCTTGAAGGGGGCTGGAGTGTGGGGTCTAATGGGCTTGCGGAATCTAAACCCTAAACCCTAAACCCCAAACCCAAAACCCTAAACACTATCCCCCCTGAATCTCTAAATCCCTAAATCCCCTAAAACCCCCTGTGACCCGACACACTAAACCCTAAATCCTAAACCCTGAACCCTGAACCCTGAACCCTAAACCCTAAACCCTGAACCCTAAACCCTAAACCCTAAACCCTAAACCCTAAAAGCACCACTCCCAAAAACGCTCCCTGGGGCCGATGGCGTCCAGCTCCTTCGGCGTCGGCTCACCCAGCCAGGGGGCCTCCGACTTCGGGGCCTGAGACTTCGAGGGGTTTAGGGTTTAGGGTTTAGGGTTGATGGTTGAGGGTTGAGGGTTTAGGGTTGAGGGTTGAGGGTTTGGCCTTCATGGGCTGTTTGGGGGCTTTGCTTGGCTTTGTAGGAGGCTTGGGGGCTTATAAGAGGCTTAGGGACTTTGGTTCACTCGGGAGTTCACGTAGTGAGAGGGAGAGAGAGCTGGGCTGTCATGGGGGGGGCCACACCTTCCCCGCACTAGCTAGCTGCCGCGGCCGAATTTAAAATCCAGCTTGCAATTGCCATTCATACTTTTTTGATTCTGTCGGGTCTTGCTGGTTGGGTTGCATTGTTCAACGCTTTCGGCTGCAAGGGCGGTCGCATGACGTGCAACTGTGGCATTGCTGAAGGGCCACGGCAAGGGCTCGGAATCTTAGCTGGGGCCAAAGAACCATCGTGCCAATCAGCTCATGGAGCACATTGTGGCCCTATGCAGAATCCGTTGGAGCCTCTATGGGTACTAGAAGAGGACTCCTCATACATGGGTCCCCTTCCGAAACCTAACCTCTGCACCCCCTGAAATCCCCAAGAACACCGAACAACACATGTACCAATTACTAATACACAAAGTTTCCAGGTGTGGGGTCTATAGGGCGGGCTTAAGGCGTCTTTTTCGGGGTTTAGGGGTGTAGGGTGTTCAGTTTGGCGGCTTGGAACGGCGTGTAAGCCACAACAGTTTGCAAGTCATAAATCAGAAGCCTCAAAGGTTCGAGGAAAGCCCAAGCCATGTCGAGGCATTTTGGGAGATACCATGAAATTTCGAAGTGCCATGTAAAGAGTTGGGTTTCAACTGTATGTATGGGGCTTGGGCGTCCTAATCAAAACCAGGCACTTCCGAGCACGAAGCCGAGAGTTTAGGCCAAATTTTAGGTTTTAAGCTTTTGCACCCCAAATGAGGGCTTGCAGCAATACCACAACCCGAGCTTCGTAGCCTGCAAGGGCTAGTCTTCGGTTCCCGAAGCCCGCCGGAACTGCAACCGCACCACCACCCCTTCCCAAAACTGAACAGATGTGTTCCGGTCTTGGTGAAGGGCTTAAGGACTTAGGGCACTGGGCTTGGATGCCCAGAGACCCCTGGACCTTGAATCCGAATTGACCCTCTAGGCTCACGACCTTGGACGTCGGCTCTTCCTCCTGGACCTCTTCCTCTGTCCGGTGGTTGTGAACCTTAGATTCATCTTTTCTCTGGAGGGTGCCGCGATGGTTTCTGAATTTCCTGACCGAGAAAGGCGTCAATCCTCCACCACCCTCCACCCACACACCTACCATAGGGGTCGGAAGAATTACTAATGGTGTTCCTTTATACACAATTATGACCCCCAAAACTCGAATCTAATTATTAAGGCTCCTTGCGACGGCTCGGCACGTACCATCTCGGGCACCTCAGACCAGAGCCTCCCTACGTCAGAGGGGCAACGACATGCAACAGGGTTTAGGGTTTAGGGTTTCGGGTTTAGGGTTTAGGGTTTAGGGTTTAGGGTTTGGGGTGTAGGGCCTCAGGGTGCATCCAGTCAGTGCATTGACAACATGCAACATGCCAAGCTCGTAGGGCTCACCATCTGGCAGGAGAGGCCTTCAACAGTTTCAGGTGAAGGAAGCACTTGAATCCTTAACTGGGTCCTTGTTGGGGTTATATTAAAAATTGTGTATTTATCATAACAAACATGTATAAAACAAACCTACTAATCCTACGGGCCCGAGAGGAAACCTCCCACCACTGGGTCAGACGTCCTGCCAAAGTTTCAGGTTGCGACGGCTCAAGCTCAACGCCTTTGGCTTGCCAAGCTTTGGCGTTTCGACTTTCTGTTTCCTTTGCTCTTCAGCACCTTGACGGCCTCAACATGCTCATCGCTTGGTGACTCTTTGCGTCAGCTGCCTTTTGCCTGGGAAGCGGAAGCCTTACACCTTGAATCGTGTTTTACTTTATATGATCGTCCTCCTCCGTGGTCCTGGCAGAAGAGGGGTTTCGGGTTCAGGGTTCAGGGTTTAAGGTTTAGGGTGGCCTTGTGCTAACGTACAACATTCGTGCAGAGATGAGTGAGATGAGTTCATGACACCGCTAGATGGTACCGCAGTGCTGTCCTTTGTCTTCCTAATTCGCTTTCAAGGCCAGCGCAATGCCCGAAGCCCCGGTAATGACCCGAGATGTTCATCAACATACGGGAGTCTCTCTATCTCTCTCTCTCTCTCTCTCTCTCTTTTTCCTTGTTCAGGGAGAGGAGAGGGGTCCTATGAGTTCTTGAATGCGGAGCCGATCTTCAGGGTGCTCAAAAAGGAGACCAGGATTGAGTGAATCATTGTACCATCCCTGGACATCCCATGAAACGAACCTGAACCCGCAGCCCTCTCGGCCTTAGGCTCTTCAAGCCTTGAACCACCGCAAGCCCTAAAATCCCAAAGCCGCAACCCCCCCCTCCCCCCACAATGCCACCCACGCAAAAACCCCAAAACCACCCTAAAGCCGAAACAGACCCTAAACCCTAAACCCTACATCCTAAGGCCTAAACCCTAACCCTACACTCAAAAATCTTCCAGCCATAAGGATGGCCTTTAGAATCTGAGAACCCTCTGAAGAGTATTCCTAAATCTGACCCTCTTGAACCCAATGAGGGAAAGTAGAGAACATCCCTAAACCCTAAACCCTAAACCCTAAACCCTAAACCCTAAACCCTATCCCAAGGGCCGAAGACTAAGGCCCAGACCGCCTGGTACTCTGGCCGTGCCTTCGCCTCGTGACATCGACCCCTTCTTCTGCCGGACTTCTAGGGTTTAGGGTTTAGGGTTTAGGGTTTAGGGTTTAGGGTTTAGGGTTTAGGGTTTAGGGTCTACTGGCAGTCTGGGGTTTCTAGGTGTTTGTTTTTTGTTGGGGGGGCGGGGGGGGGGGGGGGGGGGTGGGGGCCAAGAGAGTTACCCTGAAGCCCTATACCCCTAGAAGATAGAAAATGTAGATCGAAGAGAAGAAAAGCACAAAGAAGCAGAAGAAAAAGAAGAAGCTTACATGGAACATGAAAGACAAAGAGCCTCGTTAGTGTTGGAAAGTAAGTACAATGTCCTCCCAAAGACATTCTATGAAAGATGGAAATGGAGATATTCAACTTGAAACTACTGCAGCTGCTCATAGGCGCATTTGTCCTAAAGCCAAAACATGACCCATAAATGCTGTTCCCATTAAAGGAAGAAAAATTTGATTCCTGGTTTAATTCCTCCCTACACCCCTCCTGGATACCAAAAAATTTAACATTATTCCCAAGAATCCCTAAGCAAATGCTGAAAGACCCAGTCTCAGTTCCCTGCCCTCAGCACAGCCGCGCGGACTTCGTCAGCGTCCCTGGGACACATCGGCTGCTTCTTCTTGGGGACCGTAGGGTCCTAGTGTCTATTCGGGCCTGGGATGGGTTCATGGTTTAAGGTTTAGGATATTAGGGGCTTCGCGCTTAGGGTTGAGGATGCAGGGCTTAAGGATGTATGTGTCGGGTGACTATTCTCAAGCCCTCAGACCACTGAACACCCAAATCTCCCGAAGCTCAGAGAG